GCCACGACGGCTGGCGGCGGGGCAGGCTCCGCCCCCCCTGCAGATAATAAAGAAAGCAGAGATTTTTCTTCTATTACGTGTGAAACTCGGGTCAGACCAGCCTGCGAGAGCTGAAATGATCCTGTTGTGTGTGCAAAGTGACTCTGAAAGTAATAAACTGCAACATCTCTGCTGCTATCTGAAGCCACATCTGTGTTTATGCGGCACAACGTTGTGGGCATTTCATTACAAAGATAACAAGGCTGCAATATATTTGGTGGGGAAGTGGTCTTGTTATTTTTATAACCAACAGCATCAACAAAGCAACAGCGATGCAAACAGCAGCATCTTCGCGGTATCATCTCTGACTCTGCTGATTCCTGCTGCTCTTCAGACCTTTGATCTTCTTGTCGAGCTGCTCCACGCGGTCGCAAACGGTCTTGGTGAGACCTTCCACGATGTCGCTCATCACGCTGAAGTCTGCCACGTTGTAAACGTGAGTTTCCTCTGGAGGTGAGGCAATCGCCTTCAGCTCATTCTCATCAGCATTTTTCACACCTGGAGGGAGAGGAGAGAGAAAACCGAGTGATCCGACTGTCAGCAACGGTGACATGAAAGGTGTTGGAAATAAGTTTTCCATGATGCAACCAGAACATGAATATATACACAGGACTTCATCTACAACAGCAAAACTATTCGCCAGGCTGTGACATGCGCTGTCTGCAACAGGGTTTCTTATTCCATCTCTAAACTTTCCCCCAGCGGAAACTACAAGCTAAAGCTGAAGGCTGACAAGAGCAACAGACTGAGTCCAAAGGTAGCATAGCATCAGGGGTAGTCCGAAATGAAATGCATTAAAAATATTTATAAGACAAGAAGCATCAGCATGAATCTAAGATGCTGCCTGCTGTTCTTGCCTCGTGAATATCTGCAAATATCATTAACCTGTTAGCAGTCGGACGTACCGCCCACGGTACATTGGATGGTTTAGGGGACTAATTGTAAATTTGTAGGACTGCTAAGGGGTTAAAGGTCTTTTATTCAATTTTTGTCAGTTAATTAATAGCCTGCTATTTCAGCACAAACACAGAACGGCGGAAATGTTGAAATTAAGCTGTGACTGTGCTGAAGAAGAAAACAGAGTTCAGCCTAGAAAACTCCAAAGGAAAAACTGTGAATCTTTAAAGACATCAGCTGGTTTATATGAAGGAGAGCTCAGTGAACCAAAGGAGCTGCACCATTTCAACACATACAGACAGATGTATCATTGTGCTCTATGTTTGCTATCAACCAGCTGCACATGTAGCAGAGCAACAGCCGAGCCCATGGTGTGTGGAGCATTTAGTGCTGTCATACCAATGGCAAACAGTTCTATCCCAGCATCCTTCAGGCTCTGCGCTGGGGGTATGACATCATCCTGGGACTTCCCATCCGTGATGAGGATTCCTATCTTGGGAACACCGGGTCTGGAGCCTGACTCGGGCTTGAAGCTGTTCTCCAGGACGAAGGTCAGAGCCAGACCTGGTCAGATTCAAACAAAGATAAAGTGAAAACATGAAGATGCTGAAATAAAAATAAGAAGAGGAGCCATTTGATCTGGAATCATCGCAGCCTCAGCCGTCTGCGATTTGTTTAAATACTCGAAAGTCTGGACTTAGACATTGAGTGCTGAAGAAATTTTGCTTCATTTATCAAATATTTTTTGATAACCAGATATTTTTTTCACACATTGAAATCTGAAGCAATATTCAAACATAAATATCTCAAAAACTATTAAACCAGGATCTGTAATTTGGGAACAAAAGTACTGGCTAGTTGAAACATAAAAAAAAGACCCAAAGTCCCAAATTTGGGCACAAACCAGTAAAAAAACAACAAAAACCTTGTAAATGTCACTTAGTGATATATAGCTGAATTTCACAGATTCGTGTAGAAAACATGAACATTTTAGTCACAACAATGAAGAAAATGTTGTTTTCATTCAGCTTTCCTGCTGCGTGGAGCAAAGCTGACGAGTCAAAAACATTAAATGTAGGAAAACCATAAAAACATGGTTTATTTTTACTATAACATACTTCTGCATACATATTAAATCTATCATGAGTTGGATAAAGTGCGGGAGATTCGAGCCGTTTATCGTCTGCACTTTTAAAGCAACAGTTACGTCCTGGCTGACAGTTTGAGTGTACTTAAAGTTTCCCACTGAGGTGTAGCGAGGACAGATAAATGCCTCTGAGCCGAGACGTAGCCTCAAGAGTTGCAATCAAAGACTTGAAAATGATTGTTATAGAGCGCCTTATTAGCTCAACAAGGTTTTTGTCTAATGAGCTTGATAACATAATGAGCAGCTGAGTTCAGCTGTGTCCATTAACGACATTACAGACGTCTTCTTCAACTTCTAACAGACTGTTAAAGTCCTGCTGCTCCCTCGAGCGACAGATCAGTTTCATTAGCAACACAAGAAGTTCAATTACATTTTATTTAAAGAGGGTCAAATTACAACAGCCTGTCTCAAGGTGATCCATACTTCACGGTAAAGACCCTGCAATGATTCCCTATCAACAAAAACAAAACCACGAGGAGGGTCGGGGAGGGTGGACGTCTGTGATAAATCCCTGGGGAGAAACGGTTTTTCTTTTTCGATCCTGTTTGTACTCTCCAATCAGAATCACAGATAAAGTGAAGGCTTCACAGTGAGCTATCAGGACGCCTTCAGACTATATTACAATTTCAGTCTACAAGTGTCAGATCAGTTGTAGATTTTTAGGCCCAAACTGAGACTGAATGTTCCTATTTGTGAATATTCTGTCAGATAAAACAAAGCTGTCATAATTCTTTGGTTTTTTTTAATTTAAGAGCAAAACAATAGTATTTACAACGTGACCGGAGGGCAGCCACACATGAAACCTTCCAGAGATTTCTAGGGTCAAACTCATAATTTAGAAATGTAACTGCACATCATCTGGATGGTGATGGAAATGCATCAGTCTTTGCTCACAACTCCACAACTAAAGTTTGTGCACGAGGAAGACGCCCACTCAAGTCCAGTCAGTTTGCATTTAGTGATATTGACTGTTTTGTGATGTTCACTAAGCCCGAGCAGGTCATCTCCATCCAATCCTGGCTCCTCCTGCCCGTGTGGCGCAGTAACACATGGGCGAGATGCTGAACCCTGAGTCAGCCTGTGTGGACGTACACGTGCTTAGGTATCGATAAAGTACCGTATGTTTTAATATGCCTGATGTTCACGAATCTTGGCCTTTCATTGATATAACCAATAAAATCTGCTCTGGGACTGAAAGTTTACCTCAGGCAGCTTTTGGACAGCTACTAGAAACTCAGCTTAATGCTGATTATTCTTTCGTTTTGAATCTTGCGGACAGCCGGGACCCTCTGCTTCATTAGTGATGCTTTCCACGTGGATTCATTTTTGTTTAATTCAGTTTTTGGATTCTTTAATTTTCTGTTTTCCCCTCTTCCCAGAACAACACGAAACAAATGAAAGTGCCTGTTGGTAGAGGTGATGGTTGTTTAGTCCAAGAACATCCTGATGAATTCCAGGATGAAGTCATACTTCTATGAAATGTTTCTGCTGGTTTAAGTAACAAACACAAAAAGACTCATTTTATAACTATTATTCAAATAACAGCATGTGCTGCATTCCTGCTTTACCAATCTTGTCCTGAATATCGGTGAATGTCTTTATTTCCTTCTACTGTCCGTTAAAAGTGATGCTGAGACTTTAGAAAGCTAGCCGACCTTCTGATTCACACTCAGCTCTTATCAGCCGAAGGCGGCAAGGTCACCAACACTTGAAGACTAATCCAAAATGAGCTCCCCTCAGTTTAATAAGCTCGGGCAAAAGGACGGGCTTTGGTCCAAGTGCACCTCTGAGCATTATCTGTTCACTCTGATGGGGAGAGCAGACCATAATAACCAGTGGGAGGCTGGGGTTTCACTTGGCTTCGCACCTGTCAGTGTGTTTCCTCCTTTATACGGAAGATTCTTCACAGCATCGATTACAGACTCTTTAGTGGTGTGAGCGTTCAGATGCCACTCGATCCTGGGGTCTCCACTGTACTGAGCCAGACCTGCGTGCAAAAGTAAGAGTGGAATTTAAACTACAATTAGGTAGTAATATTTAACAGTAACTTAATAACAGATTCCAGTCTGGCTCAGACTTTATCCTCCAAAGTGACTGAAATCTTCTCACCAATCCTAGTTTTGTCAATCTCCACTGAAAACGCCTTGACCAGGTTCTCCAGGAAGGTCCTGACCAGCCTGAAGTTGATCCGCCCGATACTCCAGGAACCGTCTACCAGGATCACGATGTCGGCTATGGCTGGAGTCTTACACATAAATCCCGCTTCAGCTTAAAATCACAAGAAGAAAACAGGAATTTAGAAAAGATTTTGAAAACAGGAAAACTCTGGACTTTGAAAAGCTAAATCAGCAGAGGAAGGTTTCCCGCCATGATGGCGGACCACAAAAACATTTATCCTTCTGCCTAACATGTGACTGAGACTATAAACAGGATCCCAAACTTCCACGGCAGCCTACAGCACATACGTGATAAATCTGCACTGGTAAAAGTAGGACAGTTTGATGTGCAGCTTCTGTCCCAAAGTATTACAAAGTGTTTCATTAATTCTAATTCAGTCCAACACAGTATAATTAAACCCTAGAGGAGCGAGGCGCTTCGTTTTAGCAGATGAAAAATAACAGCCCCCTCTGTTGTTTGTCTCAACAGTTTACTGGGTGATAAAACAGACCTGACTCTAATGAGGAAACAGCAGTTCATTTACAAAAGCCAGTGCAGCACACAGTGAGCCAAAGGCCAAGCAAATTAGGAAACAGACATATTTCTGTCCACCAATTATCTTTCACACGGAGCTGAGGAAAGCCGAGTTTGGGTCTCGATGGGAAATACTGCAATCGTTAAGGGTGCTGGGTTTGAATTCAAGAAGCCTCCAAACTGCTTCAAACCGGAGTTGAATATGGCACCTAAAACTCCCAGCAGATCCACTGGAAGAGGGTCGCTATACTGGGGAGTTTCCCAGTGGGAACATGTGTAGCTTCATCACCTCTCTGCAGCCCCTCATCCTCTGTTTGCTTTCAGCACCCGCTCCTTTAAAGTCAACTTTCTACTGATTGGCTGTCGGTCACAAAGCATTTGAACAGCAGGTGGGTGTGGCTTCTATGCCTGAGATGATGTAATAAGGATGTCCCCTTTCACTGACAGAATCAAGATCCAAGTTTGTTTCACACTTTTTCTTTAAAACTTTGTTTTCCATCCAGTGGCTGATGTTCAAAGAAAATCAGAGTATATAACTTTTGAAATTTAAGTGCTTCTTTTAATGATAACATTGCACTTCACAAAAATCCCATGCTAAATGTGAATGAAGACATCCCATCATGTTACAGTTCATGAGTAGTGTTACTGTGGGTTAGCAACTGCTGTAAGATTAACTGCAGCTACTATTTACATGATGCATTCATACACTTACAGCAGGTTTCTATATTTTATTGGACAGTCAACAATATATTATAAGAAGATGATAACTGTCCAGTGTAAGAAAAAATAAACACGATGCACAGAAGAAAGGCTGTGAGGGACTTCAGAGACTGTTAGCTCCTCTTTATTTCCATATCCCTGCACTGCAGTTTTAACAGGCGTGTGCTCATGTACAGATAGAAACTGCCTCGAGCTCACCCTGGCCAGCACTGATCAATACCAGGTAAACGAACAGGTGACTGCACCTGCATCTTAATGCCAACACACCCCTAAACCAACCGTCAATGCAGCGTGAACGAAGCAAGTAGATGAATCCAAATGTCTGCCCCACGGCGATGAATACCACGCCCACCAGCTAGCTTGCTATTAGCTGCCGCTAACATCTCTGCATACACGTTTAACAGCAAGATATTTCACCATCAACTGTAAGTGGAATTATTACAAATTGGAAGAATTCAGGAAAAACAGCAGCTACAAACAAGCAGATCATTTAAAGCAACAGAGGAAGGTGTTTAAAAGTCTCCAAACACCATCTGGCATTGATATCAGCTGAATCACTGTGCACCAGGAGCTTCATGGCACGGGTCTCCTGTAGGTGTAATGTGTAGGTGCATTATAGTGCATTTCCCATGATTTGATGTTTTGAGGATAGTGCTGGAGATCTGTGTCTAAAGCATCAGTGAAAAAACTCTTAAAAAGGTTTTCAGCTGGGTTGAGATGAGGTGACTGTGACGCTCCAAGCATACGATTCACATTCGTCTCATCAGGCTGTTCACCGAGCTCGGTGTGCTCTGGATGGAGGAGGCCACTGTCATCAGGACACAAGTGCCTCTGCTCAGAGAAGCTTTCTATTAATTAACAGTGAGCCTTTCATCAAAGTGGAGAAAGCACCATGCCCTCACATCATAAGAGGCCACCAGGTGACATCAGTGTAAGGGTCAGAGGTTCAGGTTTTCCCTTTAATTGAAACCAGGCTACAGATGGCCGCATGGTGCTGTGTTAAACTTTGATTTTGTGTTTCCATGTTTTAGCATTAGGAGAAATACGGAGTGTCATCCAAAAAGATTAAATGCAAAAGCATCCTTTGCCTCTGGGACACAGAGGCTCTCCCTTCTACGTTTAAAAGCTTAATTAAAAATACTGACATGCCCCTTGTGTCATTCTGAATGTGTACTGTGACGGGGGTCGCTCACGGTGGCTTCATCACATGTAATTACCACCATCTGTGCCGCTCTGTGGAATGGCCTCTTTATATTTGCTCAGTTTTGTGGTGCATTTATTAAATGTTTTAGACTCAAAGGTTCAAGCACCATAAATCCACCCTGCGCTACCTGCCCGGCACCAACTGGCAGAAAAAGTTACAAATGGCTCAAGGATATTCACTGATGAGTGGCTTTTAATTTCTTCCTACTAGCAACAGGATTCAAGCAGACGTAAAACCCATCAGGAACCCTGGAGGGTCATTCGGGGAGGATCTCCAAGGTTTAAAATGTGGGAACAAATGAAGCAAGCAGGGACCAGAGACAGGGTCATACTTGCCCAGCATGTTTTCCTTGAACAAATAAAGCTTATCAGTACACACTGACATACAAAAGCGCAGCCATGATGCATACCGATTATAAAAACAGAGCCTCGATGCTTCGCCCTAACAGTGGATTAAGTAGAATAACCATTTTACTCCCAGGAAGAAACACGAGCATTGATTTCAAGCATGAGCACAAATCTGACACATAGTTGGCTCAGTGCTGCTGCGTCTCTATACGTGAGATCTAACGTGTGTCGCTGATGCCCGTGGCACCCAATTACTTATCCTGCAGATGTAAAGGAGAATATTTCTTTCGGGTTATAACATGTCTCAAGAGGTGTATCGTTAAGTGTGTTTGGAGGAGGGCAAGGGCATTCTTCAGCAGTCATTTCATTCATCGCTGACAGGAACTAACTAAGGTATCACTTCTTACAAGTCTCTACAGTGTAGGAATTTAAGCCTCCTCCTCGGTCTTCCAGCCGAGTCTCGGAGCCGCTGTTCAGCGTGACTTCAGATGAAAGCAGTGACACATAAAACACACAATTACTCCGCGGCTCTGGGGAGACGAGCTGTGAGCCTGGCATCAGGTTTGTGTGGTGAGACAGAAACTGAAAGTCGTTTTTGGGTTGCTGTCTGCAACACACAAACATCTGAAAGTTGTGTCTGTATCAATGTGCTGTAGTCTTCTGGTCCAAACTATCATTTTGGAGGCTTAAAGACTTTTGACCTGTTTGTTTTTGCTTTTGATTTAGACAAATAAAAGCAGCTGGAGGAAAGCCTTACTTCAGATGGACGAAGCAGAAACTGAACACAGTGAATCCTCTCTTTGGTCCAGTTTTACTGCACCAAACGCTTTTGTACAAGCTGCTGTGATGCACATGGTCTCGCTTCATGTTGGTGTTGTGGCCACAAGTTTTACAGTGATGCCGAGCGATTCATCCGTCATGCCTAAGGACCGGTTCACGACACATTTTAATGCACTGGGTAAGAAAGATTAGTCAGTGTGCAGAGTTGCTGTGGTGAAGCAGCCAAACCACCATCTCTTCCTGAATAAACAAAGCTTCCTGACATGAACCGCAGCCTCTGACAAACCTCAGGGTCACACTGCAGCATCCAACTTCTTCATTTTTCAAAAGTCATCAGCTGTTGTTGTCCAATACGTGTGTCAAGTGCTGAAAGCGGTGCATGTGTGAGCACTGACGGCGACATCATTAACACGATTTGAGACAGAGGCTCAGGTTGCATCAGCTTCCTGTTCGTTTCTTTGAAGTCTCCCATTGTTTCTGATTCATGTTGAACTGAAGTGAAAGAGCAAATTGTTTCTGAGTCTAGATCGGTTCAAGTCACTAATAAAAGGACAAAAACTTAATCATATCATATTCAGCCAACAACAGTTTGACAAATGAAGAACCTTCAGCAGTCTTGGGCTGACCTGAGAAGACTTTTTATAAAGTGCTGTTTTTACTCTATAACACAAAGTAAATAAAGAGATATTTTGATGAACTATTTTGGTGTTATTTTTAGTTTGCCAGATTTGGCATTAAATGAAACGATACAGCTTGAAAAGACCGAACTAAACACAGAATCGTCTAAAGATGAAGGATTTGAACAGAATTAAAGATGGAAGAGGCGGATTCTTCTTAGTCAGCACAGGAAAGGAAACAGAAGGGCAAAGCAGTGCTTGGGGGCAGCAGGTGAAAGAACTACCTCTCTTTTAATAGCACGTCTGGGAAAAGACTAGTGCCTGGACAGATGGCAGAAAGAGGACAAAAGACAAAGAAGAAGAAGAACTGGGAAAAAAGTGGCAGACGCGTATTAAAGGATGAAAGTACACAAGTGAGTCTGCTGCGAATACCAATGCTGTGTTTTTCTCTGCTTGATTTCCTAATGCCCCCCTTGGCATTTGTTTTCTTTTATTTCTTATTCTCTGTGAGTGCGCTGCACTGATTCTCCTCCAGCACTAATCATCAGCACTGCTCTGTTTTATTATGCTGTAATTGCAATGCACATCTATATTTTCACTTAATAACTACTGTGCACACACTAATCACACGAGAAGCAACAAACAGGATAAAAGCAAACTGGATAATGTGAGAATACAAAAAAAAAAAAAATGGAGGTAAAGAGACACGCAGAGAGAAAAGAGGGCGGGGCCAACACACTGAGCAATGAGTGTAACAACACAAGCGACTGACGTTTGTTATCACACAAAGGAAACACTGTTTGGTTTCACAGCACAAACTGCAAAGGAAGCACACAGACCGTTATCGTCACAGCTCCATTGAAGCGGACTGACACCTGTTTTTACTACAGCAGCAAAAATGAAGAATAT